AGCATCATACGCTACTCCGGCATACAAATACAGAATGCATTATGAGATTATACTCTCAACAACAGGATCTGCATATATTCAGCATTTCTATCCTGCTAATACTAGAAAAACTTATAGTTTTTCGAAATTATAATTAAGAAGGTTATACATTCTGATGAATGGGGAATCAGCACACTCAAGGATCGTGAATATACACATCCAGACCAAAAGATTTCGGTCAAATTCAATTATTGGGATTATGTAGAAAGTTTTAATAAAACTTTTCTATATGAAAATCCTACGAGAAAACATTCTTGGTTTATAAAACTTTGTCCTAATTTATTCGGACAACAAAATTCCAAAATGGTTTTTCAAATGGTGGAAGTTATATGGACCATCATTAGAGATGTTAAACCCTCTCTTCAAAGGATTATATTCTAAATGGGCAGATATATCTCCCAAAATTATTTCTCTCCAAAAAGATCATATCTTTTATGATGATATTGCTACCATGTATTTCTTTATTGAATTTTCTATTCCCTGGATTATGAAATGGGATGTACAGACCGGTTATACTAGTGAAGGCATTCCTTGCCTTAACAGAATTTTCTATCATAAGTTCTGGTCCAAATTGCTACAATCAAACCAGCCAGGAAAGTTATATGGGGAAGAATTAATACAACAGATACAGGACAAAATAGAGGATTATTCACAAATCGATCATACAAAGGATGAAGAAGAAGATCTAAGTCCTTTGGAAATTATTAGCAAGAGGCTCCAAATGAAGAAGGGAGTTGTTTCACAGAAAGAAATCCTTGCTTCATATTTTGAAGAAATAAAAAAGGATTTAGCAAAAAATCTTGGTACTAATTTTGGAGATGATATCTCTATGGTTTCTATTGACAGTACTTCGAATGAAGATGTGTGTTTAGCCGGAGAAGCCCAAAATCAATCAGATACTGATGAAGTTAGTGATACAGAAATTGAAGACTTCATCAACAAATTGAAAGCAAGTGCAGAAGCATCTTCTGTAAAGAAAAATGACAAAGGAAAGGATAAAGCATAAAGGAATAAAGAAATAGAAGGCCCCACCAATTGATTATTGGGGTAAAAAGACGAAGACTTTTATAAAGTAATAGGTCCCCCAGACAGCTTTAATAAAGTAAGGGGTCCCTCCATTATCGGAAGGAATCTACTTTTATAAAAGTAGTTTGTCCGATTTTAATAATGTAGTTTTTCTTTTGGCCACGTTTTAATTATTTTGTCGGACACTTTTACTTTTTCATTTTGTTTGTTTGTAGACAGATCCATTATATAAGGATCACTCTTCTTTAGTTAGAGGCAGGCTTTTAGCCAACATTAGCTCTACCTTCTCTTTAGTTTCTCTCTGTAAAAATCCCCCCTTTGTAATATTTTCGTTCTGAAATAAAAAATTTAAAAGGTCACATGGCCACAACTCAGGGTCTCTGTGCTGGTATTGTTCTGCTCCCTCCCTCTTCCATTTATACGATATTGTTAGCCTAAATGACAGGCTAAACAGGTAAGTGTTAGACTTGGTCCTCAATGGTTATCTGCTATTCATGTTTATGGTAGTTAAGAATCTACTGTATAAAAACCCAATGGGGTTTTGGGTTAAGGACTATATAGACTAGGCAGTTACTAGTCTCAACAGTAAACCTTGGTTAGTTCCAAGCTAACCGGTGGTGCTCGTTAACCCGTTTAGGCAGGTGGCCATTGAAGGGTTGTGAAGAGCATTGTGGTTTAAGGTTTCCCTAGAGATTAGTGGCTAGGCCAGGACNTATATATATATATATATATATATATATATTGTAATTTTTTTCTTTTGCGACGAAATAAAGTAAAAATAGTTAAAATGACTATATTAGCCCCAATTTCACATATTCACGCTAAAAATGTGAAAATTCTCGGGGAGGGTAAAAAATCAGGTGTCTACAGGGGTAAAAAGACGAAGACTTTTATAAAGTAATAGGTCCTCCAGACAGCTTTAATAAAGTAAGAGGTCCCTCCATTATCGGAAGGAATCTACTTTTATAAAAGTAGTTTGTCCGATTTTAATAATGTAGTTTTTCTTTTGGCCACGTTTTAATTATTTTGTCGGACACTTTTACTTTTTCATTTTGTTTGTTTGTAGACAGATCCATTACATAAAGATCACTCTTCTTTAGTTAGAGGCAGACTTCATCCAACATTAGCTCTGCCTTCTCTCTAGTTTCTCTCTTCATCTGTAAAAATCCCCTTTGTAATATTTTCGTTCTGAAATAAAATCAAAAAGGTCGCTTGGCCACAACTCAGGGTCTCTGTGCTGGTATTGTTCTGCTCCCTCCCTCTTCCATTTATACGACATTGTTAGCCTAAATGACAGGCTAAGCAGGTAAGTGTTAGACTTGGTTCTCAATGGTTATTTGCTATTCATGTTTATGGTAGTTAGGAGTCTACTGTATCAAACCCGATGGTGTTTTGGGTTAAGGATTATATAGACTAGGCAGTTACTAGTCTCGACAGTAAACCTTGGTTAGTCCCAAGCTAACCGGTGGTGCTCGTTAACTCGTTTAGGCAGGTGACCGTTGAAGGGTTGTGAAGAGCATCGTGGTTTAAGGTTTCCCTAGAGATTAGTGGCTAGGCCAGGACTGGTGTCCTTGTAATTCAATTCTTGAGCCCTATTTGGAAGCGATCCAGTTCTCCCCTTGTTCCTTGTAATTCAATTCCTGAGCCCTATTTGGAAGCTATCTGGTTCTCCCCTTGGTATCAGAACCATATTTTGTAGAAAACCTAGAGTCTAAGTCTAACACTTAATTTCTTAATGAATATCATTAGGAAAAAGAATACTGTTAAAAATAGTAGAAAGGAAGAATATGAGCTTCCCTAACAATTAGACCTACTTAATAAGTGGACTATTCCAATGGTTAAGATTATGGTTATATACCAATTAGGTACTTTTGAACGAATAGGTTTAAAACAAGTAGTTAAAACTACTGAAGAAACACTCATGGTAGATAGTGACCATGCTACATTCAGATTATTATCTGAAAATGACCTAGCCCCTTATACGGATTCACATAGATTTTTGCATATAGGCTTAATACAAGTTGCCTTCAAGCCACTCACTCTAAGAGGCTTACCTGAAAGCTTTATAGCAGAACTCAAAGATGGCAGAAACCAAAACTGGAAAAAGTCTCTTATAGGGATTGTGCAAACCAGTTTGGCCTATGGCCCTGTTTATTTTAATGCCTATCCTAATTTACAAATTTCCCTTAATGATGAAAATTCTTTGAATGCTTTAATACTTAGCATCAAATTACATGGTTATGACTATTTGCCTGGTACAAAAGTCATATGCATCTGTTATAGGATTCATTTCAAACCATTATACACTTTGAATCCTATCTGTAAGATAATGGATATGTAGAATGAAACTATTTTTATAGAAACCAACTTTGGTAAATCCAAAGTAACTACTAGAAGACCTATTANACATAGCCCGGAACACTTAGGCTTGTGGGCCTGACCCATTTAGCCTAGGACCATATGAGCTTAGGCCCACAATGGGCCGGTTCCACCCATCAGGACCATTTGGCCCGAACCGCCAAAGGCTGGCCCGCCAAAGTCTGGGACCGTTAGGCCTGGCCCGTTTAGCCAATTTAGGTTCGGCCCGGCCCAGAATACAACCTTATTTGCTATTCGTCCCATGAGTGCTTAGCTGTTGGCAAAAAAAATAGTAGAAGGCTGCCAGAATCATGCGGGTCAGTCATCCATTAGGAAGATAGGAAATTTTGTCACTCTCCTTTGGCCTGAAGGCCGGACAGTTTGTGGTCCATTATATTGCTCTAGTTTGTGATAACCTCAAATCTTTTATTTTTTTCCATTTATGGGATTGCGGCTATTTCCTTTGGGAGAATGAGGAATCAGAAATTGTAACATACATTTTTAATGTTTAATCTTATAGAAGATAATCCTGGTATAATGCCATTATAAGGTGTTATATTGGTTATCTTTTGGAGGATTAGCCATCATTAAATTTAAGTCAGTCACCAAGCAAGTTCCATAAGGAAAAGATGAACTTATATTGATTTGAAACTAGTTATTTATTTCTTGGGCAGTATAGTAATATGTTTTGGGCTATTAGGTTGGTGAAACTATTTATTGTTTATTTTATGTATGTGATTAATGTGTATATAGTTTGTTAGTCACCAAAGTGACCAAACTAGATTGTTTAAAGTATTCACATGCATAAAATCTTGTGATCTCTATTTTGTGTGTGCACGTATGTTATATAGTTTGTTAGTCACCAAAGTGACCAAACTAGATTGTTTAAAGTATTCACATGCATAAAATCTTGTGATCTCTATTTTGTGTGTGCACGTATGTTATATAGTTTGTTAGTCACCAAAGTAGCCAAACTAGTTTGTTTATGAAAATGTGCATACATAAAATTATAGGTTATCCATAAAATTAATAAAATACCTATATTTAAAAATTAGTGGATAAATTAATTTTTACTATTGCTAGAACTTAAGGATTTACCCAAACGTGAATCCATTATATTTATGAATAATGAATATGATATTATGATGAGGTAAATTAATATTCTTAGTCAAATATATATTGTCTGTCCAAAGATGGCATATATATTTGGTTAAAAATATTTAATTACCTATTAAAGACTAAATGGGACTTAAATTTGATAGTGTGTCGTAGTACTTACCCAAAGGAGAATTGCGTATGCTTTAACTGTTTTGTTGAATCCATATTGATTTGTGAGCATGTATTATCTATTTTGCAGCTATCCTTTTCATTCGCTTGCTTCGTGTGTTACTATGTTCAACGAATTGAACTTCTCTGAATGGCGTGAACAAGTCCAGTTCCACTTAGGTGTGATGGATCTTGACTTGGCTCTGCTGAATGATAAGCCCGCTGCCATTACTGATTCGAGCAGTGCAGATGAGAAGTCTTTTCATAAAGAATGGTAACGCTCTAACAGGCTAAGCCTTATGTTTATGCGAATGCATATTGCCAACAACATTAAGAGTACTATTCCACAAACAGAAAGTTCCAGGGAATACTTGAAGTTTGTGGAAGAGTGTTTTCGTTCTGCAGATAAGGCTCTCGCTGGTACACTAATGGCTGAACTCACGACCATTAAGTTCAATAGGTTGCGTAGTATGCAAAACCATATCATCGAGATGACTAACATTGCAGCAAGACTTTAGACCTTGAGGATGAAAGTGGATGACTTCTTATTGGTTCAGTTTATTCTGAACTTGTTACCTCCTGAGTATGGACCTTTTCAAATTAATTGTAACACTATTAAGGATAAGTGAAATATTTGTGAATTGTCTAGTATGCTTACTCAGGAGGAATCAAGACTTAAGAAACAAGGAAGTCATTCAATTAACCTCATGGGTCAAGGAGCTGGTAAATGAATTAAAGTGAAGGCCAATAAGTTCAAGAAGAAGAAAGCACCTGCTAAAGCTCCACAGGATGCTAAGAAGGAATATAAGGCAGATACGTGATTTTTTTAACAAGGAAGGACACTATCAGAAAGATTGCCTGAAACGGAAAGCTTGGTTCGAAAAGAAAGGTACAATTAGTGCTTTTGTATGTTTTGAATCAAGTTTAATAGAAGTTCCTAATAATACTTGGTAGCTTGATTCTGGTGCAACTGCTCATGTATCTACTACGTTACAGGGGCTCCTTACAATCTAAACTACAAATCCAAATAAGGATTTCATGTTCATGGGAAATCGTATGAAGGCACTAATTGAAGGCATATGGACTTATCGTTTGATTATGGAGACTGGGCGTCACCTTGATCTATTACATACTCTTTATATACTTTCAGTTTCTAGGAATTATATTTCTCTTTCATGACTTGATGTTTCTGAATTGATTTAAAGTTTGGAAATGGATGTTTCAATTTATATAAGAATACTATTTTTTATGGTTTTGGTTTTCTTAGTGATGGTTTATATAAGTTGAAACTCGATATTAGTTTTTCTGAATACCTTCTTACTGTTCAACATAATGTTGGAATTAAACGTAGTTCACTAGAAGAAAGTTCTGCTTACTTGTGGCATAGACGTTTGGGTCATATATTCAAAGAAAGGTTAGAAAGATTAGTAAGGAATGAGATTCTTCCGAATCTAAGTTTTACTGATCTTACTATATGTTTGGATTGCATTAAGGGAAAACAAACCAAGCATAGTAAGAAAGGTTCCACAAGAAGCATCCAACTTCTTGAAATTATACACACCGATACTTGTAGACCCTTTGATGTTCCATCTTTTGGTGGAGAGAAATAATTTATCACTTTTATCGACGATTTTTCACGTTATGGATACATCTATTTGCTGAAAGAAAAATCTCAAGCAACAGATGCTCTCAAGGTATTTGTTAATGAGGTTGAAAAGCAATTAGCTAGAAAGGTGAAAATCATTAGGTTAGATAGAGGTAGTGAATATTATGAAAAATATAATGATCAGGACAATGTCCAGGTCCATTTGCAAAGTTCCTCGAGGAACATGGCATATGTGCATAGTATACTATGTCAGGTACACCTCAACAAAATGGCATTACAGAAAGGCATAATCGAAAACTTATGGATATAGTTAGGAGCATGATGAGTAATTCCTCAGTACCCAAATCATTGTGGATGTATGCTCTTAAAACCATTGTATATTTATTAAACACGGTTCCTATTAAGGCAGTTCTAAAGACCCATTTTGAACTGTGGACAGGAAGAAAACCTAGTTTAAGGCACATGTATGTTTGGGGTTGCCCAGCGGAAGCTAGAGTTTATAATCCACAAGAAAAGAAATTAGATTCTCGAACAGTAAGTGGTTACATTATTGGTTATCTAGAGAAATCTAAAGGGTATGTATTTTACTATCCAAACCATAGTTCGAAAATTGTTGAAACCAATAATGAAAGATTCATTGAGAATGGTGGAGTTAGTGGGAGTGTTAAAAAGCAAAGTGTGGATATAAAAGATGTGAGGGTGAATATTCTATTACCTACGAATGTACCTACTTCCACACAACCAAATATTATTTCAGTTGTTGAAAAACACTTTGACAACACCGAGCAACATTTGGATGAAATGCTTTATGAAGAAACTAACTCACAAATATCTGACACAAATGAACCACAAGAAATGCCATTAAGAAAATCTCAAAAAGTTAGAAAATCGGTTATTTAGGATGATTACGTGGTTTATTTGCAAGAGTCAGATTTTGACATTGGTCTTAATAAGGATTCGGTTTCATTTTCACAAGCCATAGAAAGTAATGAGTCTGACAAATAGATTTATGCCATGAAGGAAACGTTAAAATCCATGGAATATAATAAAGTCTGGGATCTTGTTGAGTTGCCAGAAAGTTCAAAAATAATCGGGTGTAGATAGGTCTTTAAGACCAAACGCAATTCAAATGGCAATATTGAACGATACAAAACTAGACTTGTTGCCAAGGGTTATACTCATAAAGGAGGCATTGGTTATAAAGAGACCTTTTCACTGGTCTCAAATAAAGACTCATTAAGAATTATTATGGCTTTGGTGGCTCATTGTGATTAAGAGTTACACCAAATAGATGTGAAAACTACATTTCTTAATGGAGACCTCTAGGAGAAAGTTTATATGGACCAACTAGAGGGTTTCAAAACTAAAGGAAAAGGTCAAATGGTGTGTAAATTGAAGAAGTCAATATATGGACTTAAACAAGCCTCACGACCATAGTATATAAAGTTTAATGATGCCATAACATCTTTTGTATTTGTGGAAAATACCATTGATCGTTGTATATACCAAACGATCAGTGAGAGCAAGTTTATATTTTTAGTCCTATATATTGATGATATTCTACTTGCAGTTAATGATTTAGGCATATTGCGTGATACTACAGATTTTCTCTCTAAGAATTTTGAAATGAAAGTTATTGATGAGGCATCCTATGTGATAGGAATAGAAATATTCTGTGATAGATCACAAGGATTATTGGGATTGTCTTAGAAAGGCTATATCGAAAGAATTCTAAAGAGATTTAATATGAATAATTGTTCAGCAGGAGTTGTTACAATTCAAAAAGGGGACAAATTTAGTCTCATGCAATGCCCTAAGAATGATGTAAAATGAAAGAAAATGGAATCAATTCCTTACTCTTAAATTGTTGGTAATCTGATGTAGGCTCAGACCTGTACAAGACCGGATACTAGTTTTGCGGTCGGAATGCTAGGAAGATATCGGAGTAATCTAGGAATTGATCACTAGAAAGCTGCAAAGAGGTTTTTGAGGTACCTGAAAGAAACGAAGGATTACATGCTCATGTATAGGAGATCCAAGCATTTGGAAGTTGTTGGATACTCGAATTCAGATTTCGCTGGATGCATTGATACTAGAAAATCCATATTTGGTTATTTGTTCCAATTAGCTGAAGGAGCAATATCATGGAAGAGTGACAAACAGCCTTTCATTGCTACATCCACGATGGAAGCAGAATTTGTGGCATGTTTTGAAGCCACAATTCATGCATTATGGCTGCAAAACTTTATTTCAGGATTTGGGGTTGTCGACACCATTACCAAGCCGCTCAAAAGTTACTGTGATAATTCTGCAGTAGTATTCTTCTCCAAGAACGATAAGTACTCCAAAGGTGCCAAATATACGGAATTAAAGTACTTTACCATCAAGGAGGAAGTTCAGAAATAAAAAGTGTCACTTGAGCATATTAGAACAGATCTCATGATTGCAGATCCATTAACGAAAGGTTTACAACTAAAGATATTTAATGAACATGTACATAGAATGGGTCTTGGTTGTATTTATGGATGATGTATTTATGATGTTTTGCCACTCTGTGTCCAAAAGGTCATCACTTGCTTTTAATTGAATTATGCATCGCCGAGGCCTTGAAAACCTCATTTAGAGTTGCCTCGATTTGCGTGCGTAGTCCGGACGCATAGCCAGAAAGCTTAAATATGAAAATTTATGAAAAATGATAAAAATTTGGTTATAAAATGAGTAAATTTGACTTCGGTCAATGTTTTGGATAAACAGATCCAGACCCATGATTTGACGACCCCGGAGGATCCGTAGGAAAATATGGGACTTGGGCGTATGCCCGAAATCAAATTCCGAGGTTCCGAGACCGAGAAATGAATTTTCAAAGAAAATTATTTTCTGAAATTGTTTAAGAAAATTTGAAATGAAATTTGATTAGAACATGTTAGTATCGGGCCCGTATTTTGGTTCCGGTGCCCGGTACAGGTCTTATATATGAGTTAAGATGTTTATGCGAAATTTTATGAAAAACGGATGTCATATGACGTGATTCGGACTTAAATCGCAAAGTTGATATTTAAAGAAGTTTTGAGAAGATTTCATTGATCTCGAGATTTAATTTGATGTTCACTGTGTTATTTTAATGATTTGAGTACACGAATAAGTCTGTTGGATGTTTTTGAGGTTTGGTGTGCGCTTGGTTTGGAACCCCGAGGGCTCGGGTGAGTTTCGGGTAGGTTCCGGGATGCCTTAGGCCTAAAAACACAGTTGTGGCAGGTTCAGAGAAGTTGCAGGTCTCTGAACCCACTAGTGCGGTCCGCACAAAAATGTGTGCGACCGCAGAAGGGGGCCAGTGCGGTCCGCGGTCGGCTTTGTGCGGTGCGCGGTAGAGGCCTGTGCGGNACAAAAACGTGTGCGACCGCGGAAGGGGGCCAGTGCGGTCCACGGTCTGCTTATTGCGGTGCGCGGTGGAGGCCTGTGTGGCCGCAGTCCATTTCATGCAGTCCGCACAGGGCACTGGACCGCAGTACCCTCAGGAAGGCTTGGCGGCCGCAATCCATTTTGTGCGGTCCGCACAGGGGGTCTGAAAGGGGTATAAAGAGACGAGATTTTCAGTTATTTTTCATTTTTCAAAAGCCCAAAAACATAAGAGGTGATTTTTCAAACAACCTTTCTTCTCCAAATCAATTGTAAGTCATT